TCTCATATTTTCCAAAGAGCAAGCCATTTTAAGGATTTGGTTACATTCATTAGAGGCAAGTAATAAATAAACTTCATATATGATAGCTTGCTAAAAATTAGTATTTAATTAGAAAAATAATAATAATAATAAAAATTCGTATAGAGAGGTAGATCACACCAAAAACAGAGAGAGAGAGAGAGAGAGAGAGAGTTAGTTAATAAGCTTAGGAAAGGTATTTGGAATTTTTAGTATTAGGAGAAAGGCAACAACAACAACAAAAAAACAGATAACGAGACTAGTAATATCTACTAAACTGAAGACATTAAAAAAATTGAAGAGGAAATGCTCACTCATGAACATCCAAACTAGAGCTCAAATATTCTTGTGAATCATATGATAATATACATTAAAAACCTAAATAAATTTACATACATTTGACTTAGTGTTATGGTTTGGATCTTAAATGTCCCCTAGAAGCCCACATGCTAAAGGCAGCCTGTGGTGCTATTGGGAGGTGGGAAAGCCTTGGCCTAGATAGAGGAAGTTAGGTCAGGGGCTATGCACTTGAAGGAGACTGGGATTCCCTGCTCTTTCTTCTTTTTCTCTTTACTCTGTGGCCATCTTGATGTGACCAGGTTTTGTGCAACATGTTCTTCTGTCATAATTTCCTGCTTTGACCAAAAGCAACGGAGTGACCATGAACTGATATTTCTGACACCATGAACCAAAATAAATTTTTCCTCACTTTAACTCATATTGTCCTTAGTCTCAGAGGTGAAACATGTATAAAAATGTAAATATAGTATATAAAATATAATTAAATAATAATGAGAATATAGTTATAATGTAACCATTATAATTATATTAATATTAGTAGATATAATATATAAACTCTTGGTTATTATTCTCAACATATTTTAATGCATGTGTGTCAATTTCATTGAAGTAGTCACAAAACTGAAAATTTGGGGCCTACTGGGTTAAGTCAATTATCTCAGGTACTTCTTGACAGCGATGGAAAACTGATTGATACACCCACCAAATGTATTTCTATAAATGTATTCAGAAGAAATATGTTGTTATGTATCAAAACACACTAATAATAAGTTTCAATAAATATTTGTTTAAAATACATTTGAATTTGATTGAAATTGTCTGATATTTATGGATTTCCTTGATTTTTTTTTTTTTTGTACCTGGGATTGAATTCAGGGGCTTGACCACTGAACCACATTCCCATCCCTATTTTGTATTTTATTTAGAGACAGGGTCTCACTGAGTTGCTTAGTGCCTCACTTTTGCTGAGGCTGGCTGTGAACCCTTGATTCTCCTGCCTTAGCCTCCCAGCCATTGAGATTATAGGCTTGCGCCACCATGCCTGGCATTGAATTTTGTTATATTTATAGAATATGTTTTTGAAGATCTGCCTTGGTTATATTATTTTCCTATTCAAGAATATAAAATTATTTTCTATTTATTCATATCTTGCTTTACATAGTACAATGGATTCTGCCATATTTTTTTTGAAGTTTGTTCCTAGATAATTTACATTTAAGGGTTTTTACTTTGAGTTCATCTTTTATCATCATAATTAATACTACATAGCAAATTGAGTTTGAATATTGTAAAAAACAACATGCCACAACAAAAAAAAAAGTTAATAGTTTTAGTTGATTTGTTTGGATTTTTCAGGTAGATACATAGTGATAAGTTTGCTTGATTTTTACAAAATGCTTAAAACTCCTATTTGGTTTTCATATCTAATTATGTTTATGTAAAACTTCTAGAATAAATATAAATATATAATATAAAATATATATTCCTTAATGTATATTAAGGAAGTGTTCTTTAATTTTAGTGCCAGGAATGGGAACTGAATTTTATTAAATGATTTTTCAGTAAATAAAGAGATAACAACACGTTTTATCTATTTTTACCAGACTGAGATTGCAAAAATACATCAATTCCAAAAATCAATTATCTTTGGTTTGTTACCTTAAGCTTATTTGTTTGATGATATTATTTTTAGCATATGTAGTCTAATTTATTTGCTAAAATTCCATTATGAACTTGATAGTGGGATAATACCAACCTTATTACAATTGAGAAGCTTCCAGGATGTACCTAAATTTACCTGTTTATACAACATAGGATAATATGTTTCTTGAAAGTTTGAATGTACATGAAACATTTATTACCATAAAAACATTCAGGCCTAATTTATATATAAATACATAAGGCATATATATTATATAAAATATGTTATAATAAATATAAGTAAATAATTATGTATTTATTGAAAAAGGTTAACACTTTTAAAAAATTTAAAAATTTTTACCATATATTTTATGCTTAATATTTTATTGTTCTCTTTTAAAATATTTGTTTCTGTGACTAGAGTTTACATAAATAGATTATTTTTTGTTGTCTTAATTAGATTTGCCAATAATTTACTTATTTTATTATTGGGTTTTAGCTGCTGGATTATACGACCATTTTGTATTTTTCTTTTTCTTTTACATTTCATTACTTTTTTAAAAATGTATGACCTCCTTACTCTTGGTTTTTTTTTTATGGCTATTTTGTTTCTTGCTGTTTTTCTCTTTGTTTGGATACAAGTTCATCTTTACTTATTCTTTTTAAAAATTAGAGTATTTAATGTTTTGAATTTTCCTGACAACAACTTTAGTCACATTCATATATCTTAATGTTTTTTGTTACTGTTATTATTAGTCTATAACTAGAGTTTTGATTTATTCTGTAGTTGGGATTATTTAGAAGAAGTTTATCTTAATTTTTATGTTATTTAATATTTATTTATCTTTTTGTATTGATTTCAAATTTTACTGCAGTGTGCTCAAAGATGTTGGCCTATAAAAATAGTTTTTGTTTATTGGAACTGAGTTTTCTTGTTTAAAATATGATTAATGTCTAAAAATATTCCATGAACTTTATAAAATAGTATTCTATATGTCAAGTGTTATAGACTCAATTGTATTTGCACCAAATACATATGGTAAAGCTCTAATCCCCAATGTGATGATATTTGGAGATGGGCCTTTGGAAGATAATTAGGTTTAGTTAGGTGAGGTCATGACAGTGACCTTCTAAGAAGAGATACTAGACATTCTCTCTCCCTCTTTCTGACATGTGCCATGTGACACATCAAAAAGGTGGCCCACTGTAAGCCCTCTCCAGGAACCAAATCTGCTAGAACCTTGATGTTGGACTTCTAAGCCTTTTAGATTTGTAGCCAATCTAGAACTCTGAGACAATAAATTTCTGTTGTTTGTGCCACCCAGTGTATGGTATTGTTATGACAGCAAAATAGACTAAAGTGTCAAGTTTATTGATTATGTTTAATTGTTGAGCTGTATTATATAGTTCCTATGTACTTTATCTGCAAATATTACCAGTTGTATTTTAAAATTCTCTTAAAATGAGCACCTATTGAAAGAAAACGAAGAGTGGAAAGGCTAGAGGCTAGAATACTGGGAGAAAGATTTGTAGTAGAGATAAATATCAACAACTTGCCCTCAAATTCAAGTATGCTCTGGGGAACATGCCCAGACACACATCAGAAAGTCAAAATATAACTGAATGATGTGGATGTTACTGTTTGATGTTGATATAGCCTGAAAAAGGCAATTCCCTGGATTAAGACCCTGAAGTCTTTTATGGATGAACAGTAGAAAAGCCACCAGATGAGAGTATTACTGGGGATATGGAAATGTTTAAGAAATTGGGGATTTTGGAAGGAGTTTAGGGGAAAACCTAGGTCAGTTTATATAGATTAGAAAACTGGGCTGATGAACCTTAGAATAACAGGAAGAAAAAAAATCACTAAAGACCATTGAGCAACCACAGCATTAAAAGGCTGAATGTCAACAGAGCTCCATGTGAATATCTAAGGGAAGATTTTAATGAATATATTGAGTTAAAAACAGCACTTCATTTTTGTTTCTCTCCCTCTCTCTTTCTAAGAACTCAACCACACTTTTTTTTTTTCAATTAAAGGTGGCAAGAGCTGCAATCTCTCTAACCTAATTACTTTCCTTTTTGTGTACATCCTTCTACCTTTCCAACTTTTGCTCATGTATGTCCATCCTGGGCTGTGTCATTGTTTTATCTGATGAAGAGCACAGTTTTAATTGGAAGCTGGGAACATGCCTAGGGCCAAGAGAGAAGTGGACTTTGTTTTTCTGGTAACCAAAGAGTCAGGAAGAAATACTGAGCATTTGGAATAGGATATGGAGTGTGTCAAGAATGATTATTCAAAAAATTAATGACAAGATATGACCATGCACACCAAAATAATGAAGTCTTGAAAGTAATTTCATACTGAGCTAAACCAATTTGTCTAATTGAGTGGTGCATACTCATGTACCTTGACTTATCTGCTATATGTAGTTTGTATAGTGGAATTATCTGGAGGAAATGAATACTTTCCAGAAGCCTACAACACATGCAAACTGTGGTAAACTCTGTAATGGAAGGGGAAGTCCTGCAGAAGTATAGGAGCAAAGATATACATTAATGTCAAGGGTATTACAAAGCTGGTCAAGGTAATAATGATAATCATGGCTTCATGTTTTGTGTTGAAAAATTCATCCCAAAGGTTTTAAGTACTTAGTTTAACATCTGCTACTTAATCAATCAATCAATCCAGTAAACATTTATAGATTTTTTTACTATATACCAGCTCTCAGCTAAGAATGGAAGAATGAGTACAAATATATTTCCTTCTTGCAGGGGAGAAGGAACACAATTACATCACAATGTGATTGAATTATAGGATCAGAACACATAGTTATTATATGTGTGGGTCAGGTTTGCATGGTGTCTAAGGTCACAGAGCTAGCTAGAAGCATGATAAAACCCAGAATTCTAATTTCTTGATTCTGAGCTCACTGTGGTCTCTACAATAATACTGCCTGCCACATAATGTTAAATACAAGCAAATTATTATGAATTGTAATTTCAATCATCATAGGTTTATTTGAAAAAAATCACCAAACCTGGACGCAGCTGAATTGACACTTCTCCTGGTGTCACTTGAGTGTTAATTTCATTTTCACTTGGTATGATTACACGTACAGATGGGTATTCTATCGAATCAACTGAACAGCCTTTGCTTATTAAATTGGAAACAATATCACAACGTTCGCTTCTTGATCCACCTGAAATAAAATCCTGTTTAAAAAAAAAGAATATCACTGATGTTTTCAGTTTATATCATCTCAGTTATAACCAAAAAAGTCTATACATAGCAAATATTTCAAATAAGCCATTTTCAGGGCAGAACAAATTATGCAACTGTTTAAATTAGTGCATGTTTCCAATAAGAACAGTGGCATATTTGTCATAAATAAAACCTTAATTTCTAAATCTCATTTTAAAAGAATAAAATGAATTATTAAAGAGGAGATTGAACTCAAGCACTTTAAATGTTGTTAACTGATCACTGCAAAGTTATACTGGCTTAATTCTTTCTAAATATTTTACTTTGGAAAGACAGATCCAGAAGAAAATTCAGCCAAAATAGACCACTCATTGGTTCCAAATGTGAGTCTCAGTTCTCAAAGGACTCAACTGGTATGTTTATTATATACTGTTATGTTTGGAATACGAAAGCAAGTCCTTAGAAATACACGCCTAATTAAATGCCAAAAATTCATGAAAGAATAAATTGGAAATCTAATTCTTAGACCATAAAGTTGTCCAGCCTCTTATACACACAACAGCCTAAAAGCAATTCAGTAAACTAATGGAGATGTTCATGATGACCTGGAGAGATATAATATTGCAGATCAAATTCTCCTGACTTTGCAACTGAATCTAAAATTTTCACTACTTAGCCTTGAGTAGTTGAGAGTTATCTAAGAGACATGCAATAAACTTGGAATTAATGCAATAACCTTATTAATTTATCCTGAGGGGAAAAATTTTATATTTTTATTTTTCATGTAAACATTTGGGATTTTTTCCTAAGAATGGAAAGTGTATTGAAAGTATGGAAATATATTTTATTATGCATAACATTGGCCTGAGTTATTTGGGGTATTTGCTTACAAATGAGCTGGATATTTGCTCAGCAATCTTCCTAGCAATGGCTATATAGATTCAGCATTCAATCATTTCTCCTTTAATTAAGATGATATAAAGAATTGGATTTTTAATCCATTCATCACTAAATTAAAGAATGTTGATGAATATGTATTGAAGGACAATAATTTGGTAGGAGTTGGGGTAATGAAATGGAATAGAGCATGGCAGATAGAGCTCTTATCATCAAAATCAACAGACTATGGGTGAATTCACACATTAAGCAAATAAATATAACTGTTATGGGAATTGAATTTAGGGGGAACACAGAATATCACAGGGCATGGAAGAAGGGGATTATCAAGGTGACATGGACATTGAGTGTTGAATATGAGGTCACTAATTATAACCAGGGACAGCCATGGCACTGGTGAGTAACAAGATACAATGGTGATAGGTATATAACAACATTCATACAAAATCTTCATTCCTTTCTCAAATAGAGTAGGACATGGCAAACTAGGGTCAGTGAAATGATCCAGGCTTTGGCCTATTTTTCTATGGTTTAAGTGCCAAAAAATTCTTTATACATTTTAAAAGCCTGTAACATAACAATAAAAGAAGAATGTGTGATAGGGATGGTGTGTGACCCACAGAGTCTAAATTTATTATGTAGTCCTTTATAGTGCTCATCCTGAATTAGAGCCTGCCTCATCCTGTAATATATGCATTAACTAAAAGGCAAAAGGGAACATGTCTTTCTTTCCAATCAAAACCTCCAGGTGTCATTTGATAAGTTCATTATGGAAACAGAAACATTCAGTTTGCTTTGTTGATTAATCATATGCCAGAAATTGAAAATACCCAAAGCCTTAGTTTCTTTTATCTGAATTCATTCTATGTACTGTTAAAACGTGGAGGTGTTGTGTATGCGATAGAATTTATAAACAACATGGAGTTCCCTGGAGAGAGGTAGCAAATAACTGCTATAGTATGTGTCACATTCTTACCAAGATCCCCAGGCTAAGTGGGGGACCTCATTTCTCCCAAGTAGGGGATACTGATAGTACACAAGGCTTGGTACATGTGTGCTTGATCATGTGTCAGATGACATGTTACAGATGAAGATCACATGCATTTTACAGATGTAAAAACCTAAGACTTCAAGTCATGGAAAGGAAATAAAGTACAAATAGCTTTATTTTCTTCCTTTCAGCCGGTCAGAGACTGTTATTTGTGCACACAGAATGGAGAAGAAAGGAGGGGTGTCATTTACTGTAACTATACATCAGTTTATGCCATGTGACCTTTAAATGTCAAATAGTTTTGCTGAAATCGGCAAAATGTTCTCTATTATTTTGCAATATCTGAATCAGCACAGCTGTTTTTATCCCACTGTAAAAACTAAGTCAGAAAAACATTGCCAATTGGCCAATTAGGTTTGAAAAGGGAAGAAAAGACTGTGGCATCATACTCAAGAATGGAATGTTATTCCTGCCCATTGTGGCCTACTTTTCACTTTGTACAAAAGAACAGCAATTTGAAACCACACCCTTTTAATTTTTGATATTTTGTGTCATTTTAACTTATTCTAATCTTTATGCTTTACTTTTTTCCTACAAGAAAAACAAAAGCAAATTCATAGTCTAAGTTTCTACAACTAAAATGTCTCTGAGAATGAAAAGGTCAGGTTGAAGTTACCCTGGCAAGTTTTTTATCAGTTGTTACTTTCATCTGTTTTCATATAGTATTCTGGTGATATAAATAGCTCAAGTTTTCCCCCTACTAACGTCTGAGTCTTTTTGACTGTCAAACATGGCAACCTGAACAGAAATGGAAAAATTCTATCATCTTCCTTTTGGCAGCGAATGTCCTTCATATCATATTTTAGAATAACTATGCTCCTCTAAGCTTCTGGCTGTGCTGTGACACTCCATATCATGGTGGCAGCCAGGGGAGGAGGATAATTCTTCAAAACTTAACATGTCTTTCATAGACATTGATTAACAAGACACATAAGGTATTAAACCTAATACTGATGAGGTCCTTTGTATCCCAATTGTTTTCTGATTACTTCCATGTATCATGGAAGAAAAGAGAAAGTAAAAGACATGGAATGGCAGATAAAAATGCTACATAAGAAAACAATCCAAGTGAGTATCCACTGTCTAATTATTTTGTTATTTTTAATTTCTACCAGCCTTGAAAATGATATAAGCCAGGCTTATTTTATTATTGTTTATGTTCTCATCATGAATAGGGGAAAAACAAAACCTCATCCTTCCTTTTCCCTTCAGCTTACTGGCTGAGAAATCAGAGACACCAGTTGCATCTGTGCTTAAATGATGGGTGATCTTCCAAAATTCAACAATGCTTTCTGTCTCCCGATGATGTCAGGTAAGCCTGAAGGGAGTGGACAGCTCCTCTCAAAAATGTTGCCAACACTGGCCAGAGCCCTAAGACTGGGTGCTTGCTCTGAGGTAGTTATCAACACAGGCAATCATCTTCGTTTTCTAAGCCTCACCAAAGCTCTATAGAATTATGACTCCTATTCTTAATTATGAATTCTATTTCTTAAGCAGTCCCTGTATGCCACATGTTGCTTTATTATGTCTTCAAAGACTGTGAGGCAGGTGCAGATAGTAATCCCAGTTTAGAGGTAGGGAAAACTGAGGTTCAAAGCGATCAACAAATCCAAGTTCACAGAGTTAGAAACTGGTGGAACTGGGATTTGAATCCAATTCAGTCTCTCTTTAGGGCCTGTTTTTCAATATATAAATCAGACTATACCACATTGTACAGAAGAAAATTTAGTGACATGAACAGACAAGTTATTCTTAACATTTTTCCCTGAGTAGTCCATCTGAGGGTTTGCCCACTGTGGACAAAGGACCTGCCCCCCACCATCCCTCACTGTGTGGGTAGCCACCTTTCTCTCCCTTATCTCTCCCTCCACCTGACTACTGATCCCTCTAAATACCCCAGATCCTTCCTTCTGTGTCAGGACTGATTGTTTTCACAGAGTTGTGGCTTTTCTGATGCTCTGTGTCAGTCAGAACTGTGAGATGGAATGGGGCTTCCTCTGGAATCTGCTGTTCCAGTTGGCTGACAACTGGGCTTCAGAACCATCTTTGAAAGTTTCTCCAAATACCCTCCCCAAAGCACTGGAGGTCAGGTGGGCAAGTTTCAGGGCTCTAAGGATCTTTCTTAGTGAGGAAGTAAGAATCTAAAATAGCATGATGTTGCTTAGGTCAGAAACATTCTTAACAGAGAGAATAAGTAAACTCCAAGTTCAAGGTTATACAGATGAAGACAGAGAATGGAATGAAGTCTTCTGGTCTTTGGCTCATAAGAAGTCATGAGATTGCACCCTAAGACTCAAATTCTCGTCTGTCACATTGCTTGGCTCCATGGGTTGTGTAAAGCCCTTCTGAACTCAGGAAAGGATCTCATCTTTTTGCTGGTGGAGCCCAGATTGCAGGTGGGGAGCTTCAGGCTGTCAGGCAGAAATCTGTTGATTTACAGACGTGGCTCTGTCTTGTGTACCCCACCCCTGCCTCTCCCCTGACTTGTTTCATCGAGTTATGCCTACTATCCTTGATTACTTTTTCCTGCTGGGGGCTGCCTCAGAACAAGCAGTAACAAGAGAGGGTGGAAAGATGATGGTAATTGTAGTTGCTGAGTTAAGTCAGAGGAGATCAAAGCCACAGTTTTATCTCCATATCAAGCAAAAGGCCCTTAAAACCCTATCTGTTCCAATTCCCAGGAGCTTCATAAGTAAATATAAAATTGCCTAGACAATCTCACAACAAAAGAAACCCCAATGTAGCAGACAATTTCTTTAGTGCAACTTATTATATATGGATAGTTTTGATTGAATATAATTGACAAAAGAAAAAAGAACTTTCAAAACAACTTTAGAGCCAAGAAAGAAGAAATAGATTATAATTATTACACTAAGAATTTTGTCATTAGGATTTTTTCTCTTATAGAATGCAAAGACACTAATTTTGAAAAATAACATTTTCTGGATTATTCTCTATTCCATAGAACATAGTATATAATATTTCATGAACAAGTCACATGTTAAAAGCATCATGTTTTCCATATGTAACCAATAAATTGATGTACAATGTCAGAAAATGAAGTAAATCATTTATCTTCAAGTAGTTCAAATAAAAACAAATAAAATGGACCAATAAATTAGCTTGCTTTTCTTTAATTTGCAAGTATAAGCTAACACTCCAACTTGAGTATACAACCTTGTGCCTCAAGCTGCAGCAAGAATTTCACACGGAATCCTACGGAACTATCAAAAGTTATTATCTGTGTTTGCCATTTCTTTCTATAGAACAGATGGAAAACATGAACTGGTTTTCACTTCATTTCAAAATTACCACAATTTTCCCAATAAAAAGTTATATTTGATTTTATATTCAGCCAAATATGCCATTTCCAAGCATAAAACCAAATAAAAAATTCCTGTCAGCATTATCTTTTTTTTTTTCCTGATACACCTTCAAGGCACAAAATAGTCAGGCAATGAAATCATCCTAGAGAGAAAGTCAACTGTGATGAAAAGAAAAACAAGGAAGAAAAAGAAGAAAAATGGCACACCTCTTGAACACACCATCCACATTCTGGACCCAGCTCAAGGCACCTGGCACAGGACACTGCGTCTGAAGATGTGCATCTATTGTCTTCTGTAATGAAGGATAAAATGAGCTGTTATGGTTGATCTCATATTAGGAAGTGTAAGCAATTCTAACCAGAATGTTTTTTAAAAATATTTTTAAAATTGTCAATGGACCTTCATTTTATTTATTTATATATGGTGCGAATCAAACACAGTGCCTCACATAGGCTAGGCAAGTACTCTACCACTGAGCCACAGCCCCAACCCTAACCAGAATGGTTTTGAAAACTTAAAAATAAGATGACCTTTTGTTTAAAATACATGACATCAAATAATGTATATTTTCTTTAGGAACAGTCAAACTAATTGTAACTATCAGATACCCAGATAGGTATTACTTAGTTTTATATGGGAGAAAGGAGATGATAGAAATTGATTTTAGATTTTGTAGTTTGGCTTGAAGTCACTGCAGTAAGAGGGGATCCTCCAAATTATTTAGTATGTTCAAGTCTCATTGTATCTCCTATTCTCTGAACCAAGTAGGTTTGGGTGGAGAGATTCTAGAGTTATTCTTATAAAAATTAGCATATGCAGACATCATTCTCCACGTGAAAAGCATGTTGAGTCATAGTGAATGAAGTGTCAGAGAAATAATCTTGATGGACATTTAACATAGTTAAAATGGAAATTCCGATTGTGTCAGTATTGATTATTTTGGTGTGAGAAATATCAGAGCCAGACACAATGGCATGACTCAGTATTTTATAAGTGGTCAAAAAATTTTTAAAAAGTAAGGTGGTCAAAAGTAATGTGGTCTAATTGAATGAATGAGTTGTTTTATTTAACTCAATTCAATTTCTCAGATTGGATCACGTACGATTCACTTTTCCACATGTGGGCAGGGCTGGGGAGTAGGACACCCTTAAGAATGACTTCTGGAGGCATTGACATCTGGTACCACTTTGCCATCTCATTTTGTTTCTTCTAAACTGTGTTTCTCTTTAACAACTCTAATAGGAATTAAAGAAAACTCACATGCACCCAGATGTGTGGTTCTGTGTACATAACCACACATTGACATGTAGTTTTAAAAGGGATAGGGACAATTCCAATTGGTTTCTATTTACTTTCTCTTTCTCAACTTCCCCAATATTCTGGAATCCAGGGTAAAACAGTTTTGCCTTGGATGTGGCTCAGCATGGGTGTTGGCAGTGTCAGCAGAGGTGATAACTGGGCAGCAGTACCCTACCCTGTATGTCCCAGGCCTGGTTTAGGTTAAGTGAAGCATCTTTCTCTAGAACCCCTGCTAATTTGTTATTTACTCTCCGAGTCTCCTTATACTATTTGTACTTGGCTTTATAACATCATTTTAAACACATTATCTGAAAGTCCTTCACTGGTCTTTCCAGATGTGGCCTAGAATTCCAAGAACTAAAATTTACTAACGTTTTAGTTAATTCACTAAAGTGTGAAGGCTCCTTAGACTAAAAATCTTCCATCTGATTTAACTGCAAAATGTGAAATCTGCTTACCCCTAAACATATTCAGAAGAGTGAGAAACCTTTCCAGTTTTGTTCTCTGAAAGAAAATTGATATCAAGCACACTGACAGAGTCTTATGATCTCAGTGTGTACCCAAAATTTGTAAGTTAAGACTCAGTCTCCAGTTCAGTAGTATGAAGAGGTGGGACCTGTTGGAAGTGATTAGACCTGAGCCTCCTCCTTGGTAAATAGGACTGGGCCCCTGAGACAAGAGGCCTCACACCTGTTCAGCCTTTTCCACCCACTGCTTTTTTTTTTTTTTTTTTTGCCATGTGAGGTAGAAAGCCTTCATCAGACTTTGAATGAGAGTCTTTATCTTGGTCTTCCCAGCCTCTAGAACTGTAAGAAATTAATTCCTGTGAAGTTTGGCAATGTAGCTCAGTGGTAAAGCACTTGCCTACCATGCACGAGGCCCTGGGTTCAGTCCTCAATACCACACACACACACACACACACACACACACACACACACACACACAGTAAAGTAAAAATAAATTTCTGTGGTTTATAAATTACCCAGTGTTTAGTATTATGCTAGAGCAACATGAAAGGATGAGACTTAGATATAACTTGATTTTTACAAGCTGTTGGCCTTGAAGTAAGTAGATCATGGAGTAAGAGCCATTTCAGTTCACCCTTGACCAAGCTTCTTACTCAACAGGTAGAGCTTTCTTGTCAGTAGTGAAAACTGCAGTCTCATGGAAGGGAAGCTGCTAACCCTAAGACTCTAGTCTCAATTCTAATGGTTGTAGGATTTTGTCCCAAGTTAATCCAAATTCAAACTCAGGCTGGGCTCCTACTCCTGTAGCACACATGATACATAACAAATTTACAAGGAAAAAAAATCTCTTTTCTTTAAAAAGTTCCAGTGCCAACTTCTGTTTTAAACTTCAGACAACTAAGGATGTTGACTGAGAGGGATAGACACTTCGGTCCTGTCAATACTTCCCAGGTTCCAGGGCTGACATTTCTCAGACTCTACGTAACTACAGGGGGAAAAAAATCCCATAAATGGATCTGGAGGAGGCAGATCGTATGGTTCTGCAGAACTGGAGGCAAGCCATAAATTGAACTCCATGGGAACTGTGTCAAACATTATTTCTGGAGAGTGTCATGGTTATACTTCACAGAAGACAAGCTAAATACACTTTGACAGGCAGAATTTTAAAGGTTTTCTTTTTAATTTTAAAATGTTCAAGTGAGTAAAATACCTAACCTGCAAATATCACATCAATTATAGCAATTCTTGTCACTGAATGGGCAAAGTATTATAAATGCTACCAGTTAGCATATACTAGGAATCTCTCTCTCCCTCCCTCCCTCTCTTTCTCTCTCCCACTCACACACATGCGAACACTCACACACCTTTCTGTGAGAATAGAATCTAAGCACACACATCAACTTCAAGGCACAATTGCCGTTTACAGACACTGGCAATTTGTCATCAGCCTTTGGGTTTGCCCAGCTCATTTGCCCTCTCATCTCTGACGCAAGAACACAGCAGGAAGGCTGCTTTCCTGTGGTGGTTTCTAGCAGCCCTGGGCACTTCCCTGACACCTCATCAGAGCATGTGCCTGACTGGTTCTGCTTCCCACTCTGTGATTGGGGTTGCTACGTGCTCAGCCATTAGTCCGGGAATGGCACACTAAGCACCCTATTCTCCATATTCTAGCATTGTATTTTTATGAAGGAACTTTTTATTGATCCTTATGAAAACTCATAGGGCCTGGAAGCAGAATGACATTGTTTAAAACTACATATCATCGAATTCTTCTTTTTGTGTTCATTTGTTTCAGCCCTTGGTGCCTCGGGAACTCCATGTTATTAAAAAATGTGCTGCCTTGGCACAATGGTAAAGGATTTGACAGTCTATTGACAACAAGTGCATACATTCTAAATAATTCTATTGCTTGGTCTACGAGTGTGGGAGCATGGACAGGAGGCTTGTTTTTTCTCATTATGTTACTACTGCAGGTAACAGACTGATGAGGCAGCATGGCTAAAGGACTAACTGGGAAGGAACCTCCAAACCTCCATAGCACTGCTGCTTATCAGCCATGTGCCCTTAGGTTAGCTACTTCAAGTCTCTAAGCCATCATTTCCTACACTGCAACACAGGGCTAACTACATCCACACCAAGCTGCTGATATGAAGATGAAGTGAGACAAAACATGAGAAGCATAGTGCTCAGGGCACAGAGGGCATTCAGTAAAGAAGCTGTTATAATCTCATTGTAATAAATCACATGTACATATACATACACCTATGTATGTATTACCTATTTGTGTGTCTATGTGTGCATGTGTTAGGTTCTAGGTTCAGAAAAAAGGAAGATGTTATATGTCTTTACATTTGTAGTCAATATAATTTGCTGTCCTTAATGTGAAAATCCCTTGGATCAAAAAGACCAAGTTTGAAATACATAGCTAGTATCTAAAAATTGCTATTAAATAAAAAGTTATTGTGTTTAGTTTAATTGTTAAAAATGACTCTTAAAATCAAGAAAGTTAAATATAGACAAATCAGGCTGATTTATTACAAATACACTTTTTGTCATGACCCTGAAATGCTCTTAGAATGTCTTAATTTTATTTCTATTTTGCAAGGTAAACATTGATTGAAACCAAGCAATTTTTAAATTATTTCCCAGAATTAAATGTGTATGACACATGTGAAATGACCTGTCTAACTGCCAGTCAAAAATATTATAAATACCCATCATCAAAAGGATAGAGTACCCCAAATATCAGCAACTACATATTTATGATCCATGCTTAGTTATTTTTTGTTTTGGATGATGCAATTTTTTTTCATATTACTTTGCAAATATTTAATCTACAGAAGTGAGAAAGAGAAACAAATACACAAAAACAAAAATCTCCAAAACAAAACAAAACAAAAAAAGACAATGGAAACTTCAATGTTTGCATTGGGATCTTTCCATCAATCAATGATGAGATAATCGAAAATTACAAAGAAACATTCCTTGTTTTGTGTTGTTGTTAATCTTTATAACAAACTTTCAGTATAACTTAAAGAATATCTACAGTTATCTGGAAGAAGGAACATATAAAGACTGATAAAGATTGTAGTCCATGATATTTATAACCAATTAGAGTCTCCTATCATGCCTAGACAGAATCATTTATGAGAAATGTTTTTTTTTTTTCCAGGCAGTATCCCTTTCTTAGTTGATCTTACTAAACAAATTAAATTAATCTTGATAATTGCATAAAGCTACTTCATTAAAAAAAGCAAATATTTACAAGGAATACATATTCTACTTTGATAACAGTTGAAACTAGACAAACTGGCCACATTCAAGCATAAGGTTCAAACTATAACTCTGAATTTTTTGTTTTATACGTTATATACATATCTATATAATTATGATGTTACAGAATATGTTTATATATTGACTATGTTATACATATGTGTGTATATATTATATATAAATAAAATCATGGTCCTCTAAATGTTACCAATACCTTCAAAAATACAGTACCTGATCATTGAAGTTTTCTTTT